CTTCGGCTTCGTTCCTACCCGGAGGGCACAGCCTCCTCTGCCTTGGAAACGCTCGCCCTTCCGCAAAAAATACAGAATAAACTGTGGAGAAGCTGCCGGCGGTGAGGGGGAAAGGGCCGTCAGGTGTGAAGCGCCTCCTCAGCTCCCACCTCGCACCAAACAAAGCAACGCTTTGACTCTGCTGTGGGGTTTTTCAGATTTTTTTTTTTTTAATGAGCTATCGCTTGGGTCGAGATCCCACCGCCCCCCACTCTGTCTTGGGAACGACGGATTTGCCAGCTGGCGGCGTCTTTAAAACAGACAAATTTGGTACTTCGGTTTAGGAATGTGGGTGACGGTTTCACTAAAATACTTTCTGGAAAGTATTTCTTAAAATCAGGCTGCGAAGTGCCGGGTTTCTCCCCTCAAAGCTGCCCCAGCCTGTGTCTCCATTCCCTCGTTCAGCTCGTGCAATTATGGAGAGGTTCAGTGTAATTCTAATTATCATAGCACGTTTGCAAAATGCTTTGTTTAGAGCGAAGTGCCACAAAAAAAAGGGTTTTCTAGCATGAAGGCATTCACGGCCCAAAGGATTGCAGCGTAAGACAGCAACACCCCTCTGATTAATCGTTACAATTAGCAAAAAAGCCAATAAATCTAACCCAGAACAGGGCGGGAGCTCTTTATTTACCAGAATCTTCACCCCCTTCCCAATTTCCAGTCCCAGGCCATTCCCTAAATGTTTTTCCTTTTCAGGTCATGTTTTTTTTTTATTTTGGGGGTAGCAGGTGGAGATGGTAAAACCCCAAACTTCCCTTTTTGGCCTCGTGAAAGGGAAGCGGGGCACTTCGCGAGCAGCCTGAGGTAACACCGAGCTAAAAAAAACCATCCCCAACCCTCCCCCCCCCTTCCTAATTCCTCTTTTACACCCATTTCCCGCGGACGGGACAGGCCAGCAGCCCCCTGTGAGGTCTCGTCAAACTTTCCCTTCCTCGAGGGACGGGCTGAAACGCGTGATTTTCGGGGACGCCTGCAACCCAGGGACCTGAGGGACAAGGCGTCCCCCTACAAAGCCTCTTCGCCTTCTTCTTCCCCCCCCTCCTCCTCCTTCTTCTTCTTGTCCAGCTTGTACTTGAGGCGGCGGATGGGGTCGGTGAGGCTTCTCCTGGCCCAGTCGTCGAAATCCTCCGCCAGGCGAAAATTCCGCTCCACCAGCTCGGCAGCCTCCTGCCAGTTTCGGAAGCAAGCGGGTCCCAGGCGCCGGATCTCCTCCACGGCGTTGCCCGTGATCACGTCCCCGTTGGGCTTCAGCACCACCACGGCCGGCACCTCGGAGACGGAGAAGCGCAGCTCCAGCTCCCTGCGAGGAGAGAAAAAAGCGATAATTCTCAGGATTAATTGCAGCTCGTCGCTAATGAGGTTACGGTAAATGCGGCGAGAGCTGCCAAGCTGCCCGCGGGACGCCAGGGACGCATCTTGAAGAGGTATAAATAGAAGCGGAGAGGCGCGGGGGGTGGAGGA